CTAAACCCTAAAACCCTACAACCCTAAACCCTAGAACCCTAAACCCTAAAACCCTAAAACCCTAAACCCTACAACCCTAAACCCTAAAACCCTAAAACCCTAGAACCCTAAAAACCCTAAAAACCCTAAAAACCCTAAAACCCTAAAACCCCTAAAAACCCCTAAAACCCTAAAACCCTAGAACCCTAAAAACCCTAAAACCCTAAAACCCTAAAACCCTAGAACCCTAAAAATCCTAAACACCCTAAAACCCTAAAACCCTAAACCCTAACAACCCTAAAAACCCTAAAAACCCTAAAACCCCTAAAACCCCTAACCCCTAAACTCTCCAAGACAAGGCACTGGGCGCAGGGGAGACGGAGAAGGGCAGCTCAATGGATGCGGCCTGGGACTTTGGTGAGAAAGGCAGGGTGAAGATTCACTTCAAAGAGTTATTGGCTGGCTCCTGGGAGATAGAATATTTCCCTTAGTGGCTTTTATAGGGGACCCTATATATTAATATTATTCAAAGGGTTTTAGGGGCCAACCCAGTTTATAAGTTTTTGGCTTATCTCCCTTGACCGGCTTTATGGGGTGAAGGATTCCGGATTTGGATTTGGGGGGGTCAGGGTTTGGGTCTAAACGTAAGGTTTAGCTAGGTCTCGGGGGCTTGGGATGGTAGGGGGTGTTTCGTGTCCGGGCTTGACCACTTCGTGTCACTTTCTGGGGCTTAGTAGGGAACAAGGGAATATACTATATGGGGATTACATATGGATGACATCCCCTTATTCCCCACTAACCCCCAGTAGTTGGGTGGGTGAGGTTCCTTGTAACTCCCGAGGATGCAAAGGTAGCCACCCTCTGAATTATGGCAGCCTTTACCTGGACCCCTACTAAAGTATTTAAAAGAATGGCCTTCATGGCTATTATTAGGGGTTTAGGGCTATTATTTTACATACTTTTGGGGTTTAGGTATAGCATCTCCATCATAGTAGACCTAGCTGACCTGAGGCAAGGTAAGGCAAAATCACGCAATATCCTATAGTTCCTTACAAGTACTGCTCATCACAGATAGCACTAGAGTGCTATCTACAACATGATAGTAACGCAGGATATCACACCCTAAACCCTAAACGCTAAAACCTAGTGTTTCCTAATACATCTACCTCGACCTAAGGCCAACCTATTGAAGCCAGCTCTCGCGCGGGGAGAGCTCCGCTGCATTGGCTGCGACCCTGGGATGAGCTTCCTTGGGCTTTAGGGTTTAGGGTTTAGGGGCTGGGGCTTAGGGTTTAGGGTTTGGGGTTTGGGTTTAGGATTTAGGGTTTAGGGTTTGGGGTTTGGGTTTAGGATTTGGGGCATAAGGTTTTAGGGAGTAGGGTTAAGGCTAAGGGCTTGGGGTTTAGGGGTTACCCCAAGGGTCCCAGTACCTTAGTTGGATGTACCTTGGGTGCAAATGATTTCCTGGGCAGGTCTTGCTGGGCCTCAATGATATAGTATCTGTGTACCTGGACCCTTGGGCAAATCAGGAGCAGAGTCCTCAAGCCGTGGGGCACGCGTGGGGAGGGTCCGAGTGCTGCCTCCATTGTGACTGGATTTGCCCCAAACCCTAAACACTAAACCTTAAATAGTAGTTTCCATTTTTCTTTTGCATTATTACAGAACCCCTGTCCTTAACCCATGCTCTGGACTTCCATGCCCAGGGACACGCTTGAAGCAACCCTCCTTCTCTTTTCGGATTTTGCGGTTGAGGGCTTAGGGTCTAGGTTTTTATTGGATTCAGGGTTTGGGGTTTCAGGTTTAGGGTTTATAGGGTTAGGATTAGGGTATAGGGAGCCAGGAGAATCCTTTCGTCTAAGAAGTCTGGTGCTCCTTGTGTTTCTCTAAATTCTCACGTGCTGAAGTATTCTGGTTTGTACGTCAGAGTGCAACCTAGGCGCAACGACCACTGCGGAGTACAAGCGGTTGATCCAAAATCAGGCGCTAAAGGGTCCAGGGTTTAGGATTTACTGTTTAAATTATTTTGGGCTAAGGTATGTGTCTTCAGCATCACTGATGCATGTCAAAGGTGAGGTCAGGGATTTATGTGTGCGGTTTGGCAAGTTTCAATGTTTTGGGCTTCTCGGATTGCTTATGTGGTGGCATGTTTGTGCTGGTGACGAACTAGCGTGCTTGAGAGAAACCCTGAACCCTGCGATGCACCCTAAACCGCAGATAGGAATGGGGCTCCGGCTTGTCCCGAGATTCGGCACATTATTTGACTAACCTCTCCAGAGAGGTGTGAGGCCTACAACGCGGCAATGCCAATTCCATACTCCTGGACCAGCCTTGAACAGTTGTTCTCGATTTCAGGGACCTGCTGATAGAACCAAAGCCTCAGAGCCTTTCACCATGAACCTCCAGACAGAGCCAGGACAAGGCCTTTGAGCGGAGATTCGTGATCGTCGAGCTCTTCGAGCCTTCCGAGGTGCCTCTCAACGTTGCGCAAATCATTGGCAGTTGTATGGGATCCTCGAAGTGGTGGGAATTTTGCGAGGTCCATACATCATTTCACGGATCTAGGTCCTGTTGTGGGGGAGCTCACAAGGCGACCGAATGTTTGACATTCTCCATACGAATTGAACCCATGCATCTCAGAAGTGACTGAGCCATCCAAACCCTGAACCCCGAACCCTAAACCCTCGAACCTTCCCAAATTTTTCGGAATTCCAACAGGAAGCCGCAGAAGAGATGCTTCAAGCCATGCGGCCCGTCTTCGAGCTCGGCCCCTAGACAGACCCTAAGTCTCTCAAGACGGGTCCCAAACAATCCTCGCCAGTAAGCCACGCGGTTTCGGGTTTGGGGTCTAGTCCGACCCCCTAAAGACCTCTAATCTATCCACAGACACTGCCATTCTTTGAATAGGCATCTCCGCGAGCCCGTGGATTTCCAGGTACCACCCAAATTCCGGTGAAGCCCCGAGAAGGCCCGCATATTCGCATTTAGCACCAACAGTATGCACTTAATTTAGAATCTCCAGAACACCCCATAGTTTGCCTGCCGAATGCATCCCCCCAAAACGACATAAATGAGACTTAGGCAGCATCACGGGGTGTCTGTCACCCCTGAGGCCAGCCACCCAGTTTAGGTTTCGGGTTGAGGCTTTAGGAAATGAGGTTTGGTGTGATGTAGTAGTTGGGTTTGGGGATTTAGGGTTTGGCTGGCTGAGCGTTGAGCTGTTTGCGGATGAGCCCGCCGCCGTGAAAAACAACAGCCTGTAGGAGTTGAACTTGGATGGACTGAGAGTTCACAATGGGCCTGGTCGCAAAAAGGCCTAATTAAGAACCAGAAGGTTGGCAACTATGTAGACGACAGCATTCAGAGAAAGATAAGAGATCTAGCTAGCAGCATGCTGCAACGAGGAGGCTGCCTCTCATTGCCACCAGATGGAAATAAATGAGCTATAGTCTAAACTCCCTAAAGGGGGCTTTATAGGGGATTATATACGTGACTACTATAGGTTATTCAGGGGGATATTAGGAGTTTAGAGTATAGCTCATATGAGTCTGTAATCATGAACCTTATGAAATCCGCTCACATTCCGCCTAAACCCTTAGGATCTCTGGGCGGCCCTATGTTTCTGAGCTTAGAAGTATGGGCTCCTCACATGGTGTATATAGTAGGTCTATAAGAATCCCAGGGTTAAGAGTCCATACTAGGGCCCCATAGGTTCAACCTTAGTATGTTGAGAAAGCCCCAAACCCTAAACCCTGATGCCTCACACCTGGGCCCTAAAAGCCAAACAGGCCCCAAAACCACTTATGGGTTGTTAAAATTCTGGTCCTGTTTTTGGCTAGCGCAAATTTAGGGCCGAAATATACGAGTGACCCAAAGAGGGACTATTATTTTGATAACTTACGACATCCTGCTAAGCCCTGTGTCCAGGCGATTCGCGCCGCAGTCATTGGCTCGCGAGCGCTCAGAGGTCCAGGTCTCAGGTCTAGGGGTGCAGGAGCTGCTCAGACCTCATGAGCCATAAAGGGGCTATACAGGGGAGTCTTACAGGGCTTATTTAGGGGGATACTCGGAGTTTAGACTATAGCTCTCATGGAGTTTACTAACCCCTTAGTTCACCCTGAGTCAGCCTCATTCAGGGAGAGCCTTGTGGTCTAGGGGTGATTCGGGAACCCACAAAGAAAGGACAGGCTCAGGCTTGTGATCTGGGAGCATTTCAGGATGGCCCCTATGTGAGCCATAGTCTAAACTCCTGAAGGGGGGTTATCTGGGGATTATACAAGGCAGTGCTATAGGGCTTATAAAGGGGGTCCAGTAGTTTAGACAATAGCTCATGTGATTTCTTCGGAGCGGGCAAACCCCCATGAGTAATCTCCTTGTAGTTTCTTCTCATTGCGCTTTATCCTAAAAAGGGTCCCAGTCCTCCGAGCTTGAGATGCCTAAAAACTCTTTCACTGAAAGCAGTATGGTGATCATGTTAGAGCATCAGGAAGCATCTCATGTTTGTAATGGCTTGAAGGGCAGCGCAGGCCTAGTGTTTGAGTTGAGGGCTGTGTTCTAAACCTTCTGAGGGTTTAGGTTTGAAGCTGGCTGCTTCAAGGCCCAAAGTTCGTTGGGGGCTTACAGTTTGTAGAAGTGCTTATGGTCTAGATTTTGGGTGGGAACTCCTTCAACAAAACAGGCCCTTAAGGCTTCAGGAGCCCTTAACCCTCTGTTGCAAGGCCAGACAGATGGGGCAGCCCTGTGACTTCAGGGTCGAGCACCGTTCTCCCAAAGGTCCTCCTAAAATGCAGCTGCAAGTCAAACCCTTCCAGAGATCCATGCTTGACCCCCTTAAGCAGCCTAATATCTTAGGTGGACCCCGCACCCTGTAATAGTGGTAGAATAGGAATAGAAGAGGACCCTCATATAATCACCATCATCCCTTATATAGCCACTATTACTGGATGGGGACCCCCCGAGGCCGCTTCCTGCCAGACCGCGCTCTCGACGTCCTCGATGATGCCGCCACACTGGCTTCCTCAGAGGTGGCCCAGACCCCCTAAAGGATCCAAAAAAAGGAACCCCCAATAGGGTTAAAGGATCAAAAAAATGCACCCCCCCAACCCAATATGAACCCATTACTACATTTGGGAACCTAGGGGAATATTAGGGGGTTGGCTTCCTCAGGGGTGACACTGCAAAGTTGCCGTTTCTCGAATTGGAGGTTCCCAAAATTAGGGGTACCCTTTTGGGGGTCCCTATGATAAGGACCACAGTATTGTGGGGTCTATATTGGGGTCCCTTTATTTTGGGAAACTACCAAATTATGGCCCTGAATGAAGACCTCAGTACACTTGGCAGAGATCCTGATTTTGCAGAGGCCACAACGCGCTGCTGTTTTTGAGAAGCCTTAGTTGAAATCAAAGACATGCATAGAGATATGCAACCTTGTGGTGCGTGATACATTTCTCATACCGCGGCGGGTTGTGATTTCAATAGATGCGCTTGTTCAGAGCATCCAATTTGGATGAGATGCTGTGCGATGTTTCTCGGGATTGATGGCTAGAAAGAGGAAGAGTTGCAGAAGAGTCCAGAAAGGCACCAAAATGCTTGGACAAACAGCAGTCGCTCTTGTAGAATCCCGACATTTCCCGCCGAAAGTCCAAAATTTGTGGCCTGGACACTCAAACTTCTCTCATAGCCTAGGCATTGCCACTACTCCTATATCCATCCTACGTTTCAGGCTGAGACGCCGAACTCCATCCCGCTCTGCACAGCGGTGCGCCCCAGGGCTTCACACCTGACGCATATGTGGCAGGGCTTTTGCGGTGCGTGTAATGTAGGGGCCCAGATACTTAGAATATGTAAGGAGTCTACCAAGTAATAGTATGCATTATTCAGGCTTCTACAGTATGTGCTCGGGAGTAACAGCCCCCCCCACACCATGATCATAACTGTTCCCAATATAGCACGACTGTATCGTTTTTGTCAGTGTAATTTAGGGGCCCAAAAAGTTGGGATAGGAAGGGTGGTTATTAGATTACCGCTAGAAGAGGATTGTTAAGCGTGTTAAGTAATGTTGATTATGCGTCATGCCTTCATGATGATAGATAGGATTGATCTTGGCAAGTAATATGTCGGTGTTGAAAGAGTCCTATCGTTTGGGTCATTGCCGGCGGCCCAGATAGATTTGCCCAAAACATGCATGTCTCAAACAGGCCTTCCTAAATTGAAGACATTGCGGGACCTCCTGACGAGCATGCGACGCCCGACCCTTTTGTCTGAAATTCATCTACGGAAAGCACGTGTGTTTTTCTCACATGAACCCAGAACCTGAACCTTAAGAAGAAATCCCCGTAGTGGCGCATGGTCATCTTCTCAGTCAGGAATAGTCCCCGAAGTATACATGCAATTCCACTGTGATTGGATGAAGGGCCAGTCTCCCCCCCCCAATATTAACACTGAACCTTAAGTAGACTTAGCGGCGCTTGTGCCAGGAACATGCGCACAAGGCTGCTTGCCAGGTGGCGTTAGGCGCGGAGGGATGCAAAGAGGTATGAAGCTTATATGGTTTAGGGCTTATAGGGCTTTTGAGGGTTTTATGGGTTTAGGGCTTGCGCATGAGGTTTCAGCATTTCGGGATTCTTAGCTTCGGGTTTAAGGTTCAGGGCTAAGAACCTCATGTTCACTGATGGGGTCTGGACAAGTCCCACAGAGTAGGCTTGACTGCAACTCTCTTCCATTCTGGAGCGCAAACAACAACCTAACGAACACAAAAATCACAAACTATATGAGCTATGGTCTAAACTCCTAGTATTCCCGTAATAACCCCTTTACCCTATAATACTCCCCTGTGTAATCGCCTAAAGCTCATGTGAACTCTTGACATCACTGGTATGCTTCGGAAGTCCGGAAGTCCAAAAATTCTCGGAGCCGCAACCCTCGAAGGAAAATCACGTGAATACATCTCCTTGCCAGCCCTACACCCTAAACTCTAAACCCTAAAGCCTAAACCAATCCCCAAACCAGCATAATTTCAAGGCATGCCCGAAGCCCTGCAGCAGTTGGGGTTATATCGAGACAATGAAAAATGAAATTACTATGATGGGGTCATATAGGGTGTACGGTTTGGGGTTTAGGTTTCAGGGTTTAGGGTTATAATTATTGGGATAATGGAAAATAAAATGGAAACTACTGAAATATTACAGGGGAAATATTGCAGTCCATCCCTTTGGCACCTTCCTGTAAACTGTACATTTGCACTGCAAGGTGCAGCGAGCTTCCGTGATCGCCTGGTAGCACGCTTCCAGCTCGCACGTTCACGGCTCTGAGGGCAGCGTGGAAGACTATATGAGCTATAGTCTAAACTCCTGAAAGGGGTTATATAGGGGACTATATAGGGGAGTATTATAGGGCTTACTAAGGGAGATACTAGGAGTTTGGATTGTGCCTCATATGTAAATGTATTCACGCGCACAGGCGAAACCCACGCCCAACTGGCTATCAGACAAGAAGTCTGTGTTGGGTACATTGCATGCCTCAAAAAGGAGACCCAAAAAATGCTCTGCAGGGCCGCGAGCGTGCGGCTGCCAACAACATGCGTTATTCCAAGTTGCTGAGAACCGGGCGCAACTTTCCGGTGGATTTCGTGTTTAGGGACCACGGGTTTAGGCTGCTTCTTCTGGGATGAGCTACTGGGGTCACAGCTCCCCGATTCTCAGAGACTCTGTGTCGGGGATGTCAGAGGCCCGGCCTCCTGAGGATAAGAACAAGACTGAGACAAGCTGCCGTAGCCA